TTTTCAGCAGTACATCCTTCATATTCTAGAACACACATCCGGTAAACTTTGTCTTTAAAGAGCCAGACAGAAAACATTTTAAGCTTTGGAGGCATCTACCCAACCCTTTGCTGTAGCGCTAAAGCAGCCACATGCAATGCGGATGAACTTGGCTGTTCCAATAAAACTTTATAGACACTGACATTTGAATTTCTTGTGATTTTCACGGGTCATAATTTTGTTTTCCCCATCACCAAAAACATTTACAAATGTAAAAACTGTTCTTAGCTCTTGTACCATAACAAAACCAGGCAGCGGGTTAGCTTCGGCAGCTGGAATAATGGGAATAATTGAAACAATCATGTCGTGTGTACTCAATTTTGATGGGTGGGCATGATTTCACAAGCCTATTAAATGTTTCTAGGGTTGAAAGACAAGAAATCTTCCCAGATGATAGGGCTTGAAAACCTTCATACTTGGTACATCACCGAGGGTCAGAAAAGGAAACATGGAATAGATATTCCGGGAGTTTCTGTAAATATTCACCCAGTTAGTTGCCATTCAGTCCACGCACACAGAATCATACACTTAATCAGAGTGGATGGATAGCATATTTCGTTAGCTTTCTATTTTGCTGGTTTTTTTGTTTGGTTTGTTAAATTGCAACTGTCAATTCCCTCTCTCCCTCTCTCCTGGTCCTTTTCCCATCAGGGACTTTTTGCACACACAAAAACATGCAATACCATTTTTCTCTGTTGAATTGCTTAACTGTTAGTTTTGTTTTGCCTCTCTCCCCAATAAGCTTCGCTCTGATCCCGATCTTTTCTCCCGCTTTTCCTGTGGTAGTTTCCCCACCCCGGCTTGCAGCTAAGTCTATTAATGACTACAGAACAGGTGCACACACAAGGTGAGGACTGTGACTTCAGAGAGGCCTCGTTCAGGGACTTCTGGCAGGGACTCCTAGCCTCCAAGTTGCTCAGTGTTAGCCAGCACTTTCTCCATGCCGCTTGACAGTGTTCCACAGACACGTACATGAACCAAAACATGTTCCACGCCAAACTGTGTGATGCACGCTGGCATTTTAGATTTTCGTTTTTAAAAGGTAGGCAGAGTTTTAATAGATTTCATGGCTACATTTAGCTACAACTTTAAGTGTGAAAAACGCTACACTAGGGTTTTTCTTCTTGTTTGTTTTGTTTTTCCCCTGGAACCCTTTAGCTCTCCCTCAGTACCCTTTATAAAAGAGCGCCATTCCCCACCCTCCATTGGGCTTCACCCATTGTCACTCTCCAGACCCTTTCCCCTATTTTATTTTTTTCTCAGCACTTATCACATCTCGGTGGTCTCCCCTATCATCG